CACTTTACCACTGAACTGTACCCTCCCGCTCCTTTTTGTTTATAGTAATTTGTATGACTTAATAGTTTTCCCTAATGAATACTCTGTGGGCAAAATATCTTCCTTTTTTGTTTTCTGACCTAAGTACTGATGATGTTACAGACTGAGTGTTTCTATTTCCCCCAAATTCATATATTGATGCCTTCACCCCAGGTGACAGGTGACTGCTTTTGGAGATTGGCTTGTGAGGAGTTGACAAAGATTAAATGAGATCGTAAGGGCAGGGCCCTAGTCTGATCAAGCTGGTGCTCTGTAAGAAAAGGGAGAGAGACCAGAGCCCTCTCTCCTGGATACAGCAAGATGGCGGCTGCCTTCCAGCCGGGTAAGCTGGTCCTCACCAGACACTGAGTGTGCTGGTGCCTTGACCTTGGACTTCCCAGCCTCCTGTGAGAAGTAAATTTCTGCTGTTGAGGCCACCTTGTCTGTGGTATTTGGTTACGGCAGTCAGTGTGACTGATAGAACGGCTAACTTTCTAACCATAAATGAACAGGTGTTTTTAACAGCAGTTAATGTGAAGACTTCAGATGAAATGGAATAAGAAACTGATAGGAATTTTAATGCAGACTAAGGCCAGGCAGCTGTTACTGAAGTGAATAGTCCAGCCTGCTTTTTGCTGGAGCTTATATATATTGGTTGTTTTAGTCACTGATCTTTGTGTTCTCACTTGTGATTGTTTACGTCTATGAATAACTCTTTTTTTCTTCTTTTCCTTTAACATGTGAAAGCACCACCTGATGCTGGGGCTCTCTTGGCTAGAAGCAGGAGAACTCTGTCTAGAGGCAGCGTGTTCATTTTTTATTGTTGCTGTTAACAAATTGCCAAAAAGCTAGTGGTTTAAAGCAAAACAAATTTCTTATCCTCTGGTTCTGGAGGCCCAGTGTGGGTCTCACTGGGCTAAAATCAAGGTGTCGGCAGGGCTGCGTTCCTCACTGGAGGATATCCCATTTAGAGTGTTCCCAGCTTCCGGAGGCTGCCCACGTTCTGGCTCTTGGCCTCTTCCTCTGAAGCCAGTAACATAGCGTCTGTCTGACTGCTTCTGTGGTCACATCTCTTTCCCTTTCTCTCTTTTTCTGCCTCCCTCTTCCACTTTTAAGGACTCCTGTGATGCCATGGGGCCCACTCGGAAAATCCAGGACCATCTCCCTGTTTTAAGGCCAGCTAATTAGCAACCTTAATTAATTCCCCTTTGCAGTGTCCCCTAACATAGTCGCAGGCTCAGGGGATGTGGACATGGGCATCTCGGGGAGGCCTTATTCTGCCATCACAGGCAGCAGGTGATGTATTTAATGGAGTGTGAGAAAACTTGGAGAATTAATTACTGGAGTTCCTGTCTTTCAGCCTTGTCTTTTCCTGGAGGAATAGTGGTCTGCATTTCTCAACTGCTTAGAACCATGCCCTCTTTTGAAAAACAAAAATCTCATCTATTCTGTGGTCAACAATAAACATAGCTCCCCTCCCCACCCCCCTGCACCGAAATATTCACATGAAGTCAATCCCCCTTCCTGCAAGCCTTTGCACTGAGCGAGGTTTGTCCCACCCGTCCTAAGGCTGCATCTGGGCCGCTGTTGTGGACTTGTGGAGTATTTTAGGCCCTGGGCTTTAATGTTAACACTTCTGTTTCACTTAAAATCTGGTGGTATTTGCTTTATTCTTACTACCAGCCCCGTTTCTCCAATACTAGCAATTATTTGATACTGCTTTTGTGAACTTTATTTGAAGAGGTAAGCATGCCTAGCAAATATTTTCTGAAAATATACTTAAGAGGTAGGTAGAGTGTGGATGGTGCTTGTTCAGAAAAAGCAGAAGACCTACAATCTCAATTGCTTAGTCAATTCGAAGCTGATTTTCAGTCTCATTGTTGTATCAACTGAAATAACTCATAACACTAGAATAAGGTGATTACTTTTGTTGGTATGTGGTCTCAGCATGCATCCTGCAGGGAGATTTTATATATATATCATTATAAAATAGACTTTATGGACTTTATGGGAACAGTTTTAGATTTACAGAGAAATTGAGAGACTAGTTTAAAGTCCCCACATATACCACACCCAGTTCCCCTGTAGTTAACATCTAACGTTAACATGTACACTTGTTACAATTAATGAACCAATATTGATGTATTGTAATTAGCTAAAGGCCATGCTGTCAATTTTGTTTTCTAGTAGAAAAGAAAAAATCTGGTGTTAGAGAATATTATGTTTTTGGGCGGGTAATTTGGTTTGTTTGTTTATTTAATGGAGGTGCCGGGGATTGAACCCAGGACGTCATTCATGCTAAGTACACACACCACCACTGAGCTGTGCCCTCCCCCTGAGAATATTATTTATGAAACATAAGTAATGTGTTTTGGGGGATGGATTCATGATGCTCTGTTCATCTCTAACTCTGTGATTTGACTTTGTGTTGGTTCTGGATCTGTGAAGACTGACTCTGAAGTGGATTTGAAAGTGACGTTTAGCTCTGAGGTTGAAAGTAATTTTTTTGGTTAGGGATGAGAGTGAGAGCGATGGTCAGATTACATCTTGCATTCTTCATGTGTCTATAGGTCTACCTTCCCATCCCACTTAGAGTAAAATTGGAAAGCCTTACGGTGCCCTGTAAAGGCCCTTCATCATCTGACTGCTGCCAGCCTGCTAGACCTCATTCTTCACTGTCTCCTCCAGGTTCGGTGCAGCGCAGCCGCAATGCTGGCCTTGCTTCTGAGCCTTGAACGTGGCAGGATTGCCCTCTCCTGAGGGCCTGGCGCGTGCCG